TAAAATATTATTCAAACTTTAAAAAAAAAAAAAAAAAAAAAACCTTGCAGATAGATAACTTCATGTGTGATCCACACATTCGTAAGTATTTGTCCAAAGAATTTAGGAAAATTATTAAAGAAAAAGCCAAATGATGCAATTGTACACAAACTTAACGCATAAAAAAGAGATTGTAGCAATTTGGATGAACTTTTTGCGTTACAAGAGATTATTATTTGTTTTTATTTCCTCAATTTCACCGTAATCCTAACAGATTTTCTCATGAGGCTACTCTGTTTTTTTGCACGATAAACTTGAGAATAACACAATTATAAAAAATAAAAAATAAATGGTCCAAAAGGGATGAATTACAAGAATGAAAAAAGTGGCGAATGGAAACGAAGCACAAAAATCGCAAGAGACATCACACACTTGTGTGTCTTGTGAACACAAGTTTATGTATATATTTATTTTACAGGAAAATGAAAAAATGTGGCAAGAGAGAAAGAAGTAGATGAATTGAGTAACAGAAATAGAAATAATGGAAGGTAAAAAGAATGGGGACCAGGAGTGATGAAGGGTTATATCTATCTCTATCAATGACATGACATGAAATGAAGATAAAGCAGAACCACACAAGGAGGACAGGCCAACCACCACCAATGATGTTTCGTCAGGATTTAGATCACTAGTCACTCAACGTTCCCTACTTTTAATTCGACTTGACACCAGTTCTAGGGTGGGAAAGACTAACAAGTCTCCCACCGTGCGAATCACTATAATCATGTATGGATTTTATTATAAATATAAAATCATAAGATAGTTATGTATAATTATGTATGGATTTTATGTTGGGAAAATATTTCAAAAAACATGTTCATAACATTTCTCATTATAATATAAAAGGGTTTCGGATGTCTTTAATTATTAATTTTAAGAAATCAATAAAACTTACTACTCTACATTATTCATATTTCTAGCAATAAATGTTAACATACAAATAACTCATACACCGAACTATAATTATAATAATGTACCAGGGCAATATCAAATGAACCAGCGTAATGATCCAAAATGCTAATGTTTGGCATTCGACAGTCTTACATAAATCTAGGGTCCATCAAATCCTCAATACTAAAATCCTCAATATTAAAATTAAGGCGCCAATAGGTAGGAGTTTCGAGTTCAATTCCAATGAGTTCAAACATCATAAAACCCAAATGAGCGTTTTTCTTGGCTAATGTCAATTTTACTAGAAAAACTTAGTAGCACTCTCCATCACCCACAACTGCATCAATTGCAACAATCAGAGCTCACCTGCCAGACCAAGGCCCAAACAGGTTTTAGCATAAATGTAACACCCAAAAAAAATAAAATGGAAGTCAAAGGCAAAATGAAATCAGAGTTTAGGACAGAGACCGAGACAAACTCTTGCTCCTGCTCCTGCTCCTACTAGGACTCCTGCTAGCACTGCCCTTTTTGGGGCTCTTGTTACGCTGCCAAAGGCAAAGAACACCATTAATTGGGGAGGTGAAAAGATGGCTAAGTGTACCAAAACTGTGCTTAAAGCTTCAAATATGCTTTTCTAATGCACTATCTACACCATACCCAACAGTAATTCCACACAAAAGTATTCAACATGTTTAAAGCCACATGTTTTGTCATTCAAAGACGCTATATCCACCGAACAAAATTCCGAATGGTTAAAGTATTATTATTTTTTAATAAATTTATTATAAAATAATTATTTAATTTAATATTTTATTATTTAAATCAGTTTTTTAATAATTCGGAAGAGGTTTCGGAACGTTATATCGGACCATCTAGCATTTTTCTTTGTCATTTTACATGGCTTGAAATAAAAAAACCAAGCAACCCCATTCTTTTTTGCAAATCACAACATCTGACTCGGTGGAGACAAGACATATGCAGTATAATAATGTTCAATCAAAGTTTTTTAAAGTTTACTCACCGGAGGCAATGGAGACCTGGACCTGGACCGTGATCTGCAAAAGTTCCACAAACAACAGAATTTAAAATCCACAAGTTCCCTTATCATAGTGATCCAACAGCCTTGATGCCTCTCCCATGTCACAGTTAACATGTCCAAGAGAGGTAAAAACAAGCATCATAAAATAAAAAACAGACTAACAAAGTAGAAGACTAAAAATGGAAAAGTAACAGACATTATGCAAGAATGATGAAAAGCAAATAAAAATAGACCATATCAGGTGACATGCTAAGGCTCCGATTGACTGGAGAAAAGAAATCTTCCCTACTGCACCACAAAATCCAGAGAATCCAGATAGTGCATCCTATTGACTTGGCAAATCTTGGAGCCCACAATTGAAATGAAATTGTCCCTATGCTCATTGGTGGTGATTTTCAAATCCCAATTGCCTTTATACACAATGCAGCTCTAAAATGGCAATCCATGATCTCCTTTGTTCCCAATCTAGCACCCATGGACATTTACATGCTAAAAGTATTAGAATAGATGTACTGTGAAGGTATCCAAAGTCGCCCATTCTAAAAAATATCATACCTCCACAACAAAATGAGTTGCAGGCAATTGAACCAAATCCCACCAAGTTCCTAATTTCCAATTTCCAGTATGCTGCAAGTTTCCATATCTAAGAAAAAAACACGAAGGAATCTTCACAAAAACAAAAGGAAACTGAGAGAACACTCCGACATCGAGGCAAGTTTTACCAAGTTCCGCTCGGGAAAAAAATTAGACAAGGGAGGGGATGTGACGAGAGCAACAGTTTTGTGTCAGGAAACATGATCAAATCCGAAGTTCATAGAGAAAAAATGATAAATAACAATTTATTTAGAAGCAAGATTTTCTATGACTTTCATTTTCATGGAAAGGTATTAAATAAAACAAGTTCCAGGCTTTGATGCCTATCAACAAAAACAACAGACAGTACAACAATCGACTTCACCAGGACAAATAAAATGAAATTAAGTTTGTTCATACTAAATGATTGCTATAAAAGACGCCTGAATCTATTAAATTGAATCTCTATTTAATCCTCTCCTATTCATTATCAGTATTCATAATTCCCCAAGTCATCCACGTGCAATCTATTAAAATGCCTCTTCTGGTGGGCACTTTCCATCCCTGCACATACTGGAGAGGCTAAAGATACTCTAAACAGATGAGTGAAGTGTAAAGGTGGGTCAACCATACATCAAGATACCAAATAATTTTCTCAATAAAAAATAATTTGATCGATAAGTCACCAGACAAGTAGTACTAGACAAAAAAATTATGACCATTCAAAACATTTCATACCCTGATAATGAACGGGACTTTGATCTTGAGCGAGATCGAGAGGGAGATCTTGATGGAGATTTAGATTTAGCAGGTGAACGCTGTGAAGATTTACCCTTTGGAGATTTGCTGCACAGTGATTAAGAAATTGATTCAGAAAAGATCAACAGGTTAACAATGAATCTTAATAAATGGAATGATTTTTAATTTTTAAGATACATATCGCATAGACCTTTGGCTCCGACCCCGACTGTAACTACGGCTACGGCTACGACTGCGGCTATAGCTTCTTCCTCTAGAATGGGATGGGCCACGACTAGGACTTCTAGAGGAATCCCGCCTTGAATCATATTCCCTCACCTATATAAAGAGAAATATATCAGTAGAAGTAGCATGCACTAGAAAAAAAACAATTAATTCTGAGAACATCAAAATTCAGGCCATACACGAACATAACCCTTGGAAAATGCATTCCGGAATTCAGAGTCATCAAGCTTCTTGATCTGCAGTAAAGAAAAATACAGTCAGAAAGTTATTTAGGCATTTAAAAAAAAAAAAAAAGAACAAAACCATATAGGTAATAAACAAGTAACTCACAGCATATTTCATATCATCATAATTTGTGTAATCCACAATGCCAGTAGTACCTGCAAACCGATAATAATACATCAAATAATCACACAGACAATATACAGTAAAACTAACAAAAATCTCAGACTCCTTGTACAGGCTCAAATGCCAACTCTCATAAAGATAACCAAGGCAAGAGAAGAAGGGACAAGGGAGGCAAAAGAAATAACCTAACAGTTTAAAAACTGCTCAACTACTAGCACATCCAAAAATTCAAATTGTGAATCGGAGGGTCTATTTTCTGAATTGTAAGATTCATGATCAATAATAAAACATAACATATACAACTAACATGGACACATAAAAGCGCAAATTCTGATAAATAACCAAAAAAATCTACAAGAATTTCAAAACATGTTTAACTTATGGGACATATATATCCTCTATAAGAAGGATAAAAGAAGATCAGAGAAAGAAAACTGGAAGAATATATAGAAAAAGTGACAGGGAGACAATGGGCTACCCTGGGTTTGATGGGAGGGAAACAACTGGCCTATGTGATCACTTTTTCACAATTTTTCATGGAAATAAAAACATTTCTAGGGTTTTCAGAACCCATCCCAGTTTGGTGCGCAACCCATCTGTGCCAGAATCACACAATTTGTCTCAAGCAAGTGATTCTTGCAATTCATGGTGTGATTCAAGCACCAAAACAATTCACTCAACGATTCATATTGTCAGCTACTTGCATCAAATTGTATGTATCATATCGTGAATTGTATGATGAAATGAATCATATGTATCATATTGTGAATCATATGATGCTGATAACAAAGCATCCAAACAATAGGGTACAATCAAGAACCAGAAACTTCATCCAAAAGTTCCATACCTCTTCCATCATGAAAAACTTGGGAAAAGCAAACATCCCCTGCCTTACGCATGTGATCCTGCATTTAAGAAAATCATTTAGAGACAATACTATAAACTCCCCAAAAACATTCTGATAGAACTAAAATGAACGCAACTCCAAGAGCTCACCTTAAGATCCTGCCAGGATGCTGAAGAGGGCAATCCAGTGACTAGAACTGCAAAATCATGCAAAAAAATTTAGAAGCATGCCAAAAAGAGTCCTAAAATACTATAGATATTCCAAATATCTACACACCACGATATTCAGAGCGCCTAGATACACCTCGTCCAGCCCGGCCATTGTTGTGACTACTATATCGATCTCTTGAGGATGAATGACCACGTCCACCATGGGCAGGCTCCACCTATAAAGTTACAAGTTAAACAATGTTGGCAATTCATTTGCAGCCATCTTGTTTTTTCTCCAATTCTGATAGAATTTGTTAAACCTATCACAGATCATAAATGTATAAATGTAAGATATAACCAACCCGTAACCGGTGACCATCAAAATCATAGCCATCACGCCCACGAATTGCATCCTCAGCATCTTGAGCATCTTCAAACTGCAACAATCAGTCCTCAATCAGGATAAAGGGTGGAAAAAAAGGAAATTTATAACAAACTGAGTGGCATCAAACTCACCTCTACAAACGCATAACCTGGGGGTCTTGGGGGAACCTTTAGGTCAATGTGTGTAATGTGTCCATACTACAAAGTGAAATTTATGAGTAAACAACAAGAAACATCACAACTCTGATAGTGTAAGAATAAACAATTACACAAAACATAAATCATATAATAGATACAACAGAAAATCATTAACAGTCGTATGTACACATCAGGAGCACATCCAACCTACAATATCACAAAGGGGGCGTACAGCAATTACAATCCATTATTATACTATAAATTTGACCCACCTTAGGGTAAAGCCCAATTATGTCCCGAGATTGTAAGCATTGGTCACATTAGCCCAAATTTGCCCTCCTGACCTTGCAAAACATCATTCACTTTAGTTGTTTTCCCCCACAAGTGAATGACATATTACAAAGTGAAGCACCAAAGCGATTATATGCAAAGCCATAGCTTACAATCTCAGGGTCTGAAATGGAATAAGTCCCCGCCTATACTAAAAAAAACCAAACGAAATCCTCAAATTGCAGAAGAAAGAAAAATGTAGGTATAGAAACGAGCAACCTAACGACTTTAAATTCCAAATACATGTAAAAATAGTGTCCCGAAAATATTCATTCACAACCTTATATAGTGAGGTGTAAGCCACCTCCCTCGTCTATCACATTTCAGATAAAAATACATATAAAACCAAAATCAAATTAAAAAATCAAGGCACCTTCAGAAACAAATCTTCAACTTCTCTTTCACGGATGTCACCAGGGAGATTCCCTACGTAGACAGTTCTGCTCGAGCGCCTACTCATTTTTTTTTTCTTTTCTACTTTCTGCGACAAGTGAAAAAATCGAAAAGTAAGCAACAACGTAACAATTTAAAAAATAATACTATTACACATGCCCTAGCGCCCAATACAATACCCGTGTTGAGCAGAAAAGCACACTAGAGCTGATTCAGCGAGAAATTTAAAATTGTTGAAAGAACAAAAGATAAATCATAGAAAAAGGGGGAGGGGGTCACAGAAATCGAAATTGTGTGGTCGAAAACAAATAAGTTAGATTGAAGAAGCGATAAAGAGTGTAATTGGCGGAAAGCGAGTCACCTTGGATTAGTGAGGATTGGGGATCGGTGGCGTTGCGGTGAGAGCTACAGAGGTTAGGGTTTTTGATTTTGAGAGTGCGAGAGGGAAATTGGATGTTATGTATAGAAATGCTATCATAAATGATAAATATAAATAAAATACTATGACGCCTTCTAGTCTATATACTAGAGAGTAGAGACTAGGGACAATGCCAAACCCCCACGCTCGTGCGTTCTGCGCGTCACACGTGATTCTCACTTTGGATTGGATATTTATTATCTTTTTTTTCGAATTCTTTTTAAGTATAATATATTTTTATTCTTTATAAAATAAGTAAATTTTAATTATGATTTTAAAAAATCTTTATATTCCATATTTTATATTTTAAATCACTATTTTTAATTTATGTACTTTTTATTTTTCTAAATTTTGAAATAAACTAATATGTTAACATGTATATTTTATATGTTAAATATTTATTATATATAACAAAAATTCATAATAAATTATATTTATATTTTGTATAAATAAATATTTTAAATCTATAAATTATATTTTAGATTTAAAATAGATATTTTATATTGTAACATAATATTATTTTTAATTATTAATAATTTATTTAAAATATTAAAAGTTAATTCTAGATAAATATGATAAGTAAAAAAGTTGTATTAAATAATATATTTAAAGCATTTCTAAAAATGTTCTAAAGAAAAATAACTCTTAAAAATATTCTCTCATATATATATTAAGGAAATTGTATTGTAAGGGATGTAATACAACATCCAGTGATGGATGTCACCTAACATTTTACCATTTCACATTATGTTAAATATTAAACACAAAAAAACTAAGGATCCAATAAATATTCCTATCTCATAAGTAATAAAATATCCATGTCCAGTAAAGAAAACATAAATAGTAAAGAAAACATAAATAAGAAATATTTAATGGTCGAGAATAAACAATCAAATTTATATGGTTAAATTTGATAGAAGTTTTAATACTTTTTATGATTTAATTGAACAAGTTAGAGCGATGAGCGTGCTCGAATTTAGATGAACACGTTGGTGCTCTGTTTTCAAGTAAGGAAGTACGTCCATGTTCTGTTTTCAATTTACAGTTTTGTTTTCCACCAATATAGGGTAGTACACCCTTGCACAGTGGAGTACAATCATGCTTAATGGAGCATGTCATGCTTAGTTTGCAGATTGTGGCATCGTAATTGTCCCATACTAGTCAGCATAGCGATGCACAAGGGGAGCCAGGAATTCATGTAAAACATTAATGGAACTCTGGGGTAACTTAAATAGAAAAGATACAAATCATTGGATGCTTAGATTAAGAATTAAGAACTATATCCTTTAGCCTAGGAATATGATTTGGGAATTCAAAGATATGAGTAGATTAATTAATTATGTGAAAATTTTCATTGTTCTATGTGTGTTATCTTATAAGGTGCATAATTAGGACTTGATGTCTTTTAAGACGAGTTATCTAAACTATGAAAGACGAGGATGCTGCTCGGTTGAAATCATGTTTGCAAATGACTTAACCTGTGAAAGGCGATGATGGTACTTACTTTATTTGTGGAAACAGAAATTCAAGGGGGCATTTGTGTGCATTTTAATGATTGAACATGATAAACATATAAATTTGTGTTGAGTAAGAATAAATATGAATTAAGATTCTAGAGACCTTGAACGGTCATTGACCCGACTTTGGGAGTAACGTGAAGTGTAGAAATTCCAAATGTTTTATGTTGATCTCATGAGAGTGGAGCCGTACTTCAAAAGCTTGATAACCTTTATTAGGCACCCGATAGTATCATACTAGTAAAAGTGTTGAGTGTTGGAGGCAACCAATGAGGTGTTGCACTCTGCCTTTATGTTAACATTATACTCCTTGTATATTATCTTGATTACTAGTTATAAATACCACATATGCACATGGAGGAGAGATGAAGGAACACGGCAAATATAAGCATTTTATTGCTACGTTAAGTGTAAAATTCTATAACCTTGTGATTATGTGAACTATGTGTACCTATTATTATTATTCTTTGAACATGATGCGATAAGTATTTCATTTTCGTCTTATTTTCTGATTGTATCTTGATATGTTCGGTGTACAGATGACATGTAATTCAATTTTATGCTTAAACGTATTTTTTATTATTTATTATTATTATTATTATTATTATTTACGGTATTAAAAAACCTACTCAAGTTCAGACCCTAAATTTACAGAGACAATATACTAAGTGATGTAAATGGTTTTGATTTTTTACGATAATAAATGAGCGTAGAAATATATTCCATATTGAGGTAGGTAACAATCGAGGAAATTATGAATATAAGAGAAAAACCTATAAAGCTCATTAGTTGTTTCCTCATTGAGGAAGGAATAAATATTCGGCAAACTTCTAAGACCAAAAATAATAAATACAGTACAATACAGTGAAATCCAAAATACATCTTTACACAATAAAATTTAAATGTTGAACCAGCACGATCCACTGATAATAGAGTCATTTCCTTTCGAGGATTTTTAATAAAAATCCAAAATTTATTAGCTAACACCTAACAACTTTAATCTTTTGATTATTTTTTTTTTCATTTCGAGGATTTCAATCCTTTACCCAGCATAGCATGTTTGCACCTAAAAAGACATTTACCAAATTAACTCAGCAAACTTATATAGCAATTTGCAGTCCCAAGATGACCTCCAATTATTGCACAAGGAAACGAAGCCCGCAAGGTCAAAATGTATAAAATATGGGCTCACAGAACATGCAGGAATACTGATCCAAGCAAATTACAAACGTTTTATGAAATAATTGTTCAGAAGCTTAAATTGAAAATTAACTCCGGGTGCTAATGATGATGTTCATTAACAACCCCATCCTCCTGGCCTTTCCTGGCAGCAGCCCTTAGTTTGCGCTGCTCCTCCTTGTAAATCCGGTTTCGTCGTTGAAACTGCATTAAACAACAAAATCAACATCAGTAATTTATTTGCCTATCAAAGCAACACATGTTATAAGGTTTACCACGGAGTATGAAACAATCCTTGACAATTTTAGATAATATAGCATTCTCAGTTGCTTTCAAGACCTAAACTAAATTACCAGGATATACTTCTGTCACCAAAGTAGGCTTCATTGATAAAACATTGTACGCAGGATAAAAATGAAATCAGGAATTCTTTAAGCTTTAAGTTAAATACTCTAGTCATTTTCAATCCTCTCAAATTATCTTTAGTGTCCCACACAAGTTATACAACTTTCACTCCATATTCTGATTCCTACCAAAGCATTGTCTTCACTGCTCCCAAAGTAAACATAATAAGAGTTTTTCCTTTTAAATAAAAAATAAAATAAGCACTTTATGAGTGTGCTTTTGTTCCATTGAGGGGCAATATAAACAGAAGAATACAAATTGTTAGTAACAATACAACTTTTCACATTTTGTTCCATTTTCTATATGGTAGTCAATGCATAGCATGAACAATTTTGATGGAGATTTGGGGATGAAAGGATGAAGAACCAAGGTTGAGAAAGAGAAAGGGTCTTAAGGAAGAAAGGGTTGGGTAATTTTTTTAACTTTTTAATGGTATTGTGTGTGACACAAGATTATCCCATGGTTTATGAAGAAATTTTGAACTTTCATTTTGTTGTGTCCATTGGCTATGTTAGAAATCAAGCATGGGATTAGTATTGTTGTGTAGTCCAATTCTTTATTTTTCAGCAAATCAAACACATCCCAAGAGTATAGATATCATACACAGTACCTGATTACTAGATCAAACAATACAAAATTATAAGTCTGACTGTATTAGGTAACAAGATAACAACAACAAGAAAAGAATAAAAAGACAACTCTACCACTCGTCATTTTCTTTATATTTTCACTAGGCAAAAGAGACACTTTATAACTATATATTTATTTAAAAAATAAAATAGAGTGATTTAGGGTAGTTGTATGATATAATAGTTCCAAAAAAGTGGAGACAAAAAAATTACAAAAATGAGTAAATAATTGAGAAAGCGTGAAAGCATTCATTAGTGAAACAAGTAACTTACAGAGGATACAAATAAAATGTGTAAAAGAAAGAGGGTTAATTAATAAGTTTGTAATATTTTTAAGGGTACAATAGTCCAATAAAAATGGAAATAAAAAAACAGTCAAAGAAAAGATAATACCTTTATGTAATTTATAGTATAGATAGTATAAAACATAGCTTAATGATATATGCCTATGTTTGTGTTTTGAATATAATAACTCAGAACAATGATTAATTGTGTAATTTTTCACCTGAAATTTGAAATTCATGCACTAGACTAGTTATTAGCCCATGAACCACATGAAAATTTCTAACCTTACAATTAAACATCCTCATATGATAACATCAAATTTCTGAAACTAATCACCATATTATTGTCAACCACAGGATTATACATTCTCAGAGTTATGTCTTGACTATATATAAGGGTCTATGAATAATTTTTTAAGCCATTCAGTTCAGCCAAAACACCTAACAACTGATATACCATTATCCATTGTTAATTGAGTATACCCACTGCCTGAGCTACAAAAGATAGATAAATAAAACATGATGTGAAAGAAAGAAAAAAAAAAGTTGAGAAACTTAAAAGGCTTACATCAAATCAAATATTTAAGGTACAGTTGGAATTCAAAGTTCACAATCCATTACCAAATTCTGTTGAGCAACAAATAATTTTGGTCACAGGCAACAAAAAGAAGAACATAGTTGTCAAGTGCCAACAATAAGAAATACAAATGAAATCAGAGAATCCCAAGTAATCAGCACAAACCCCGTGTTGTTTTCATAGAGAACTCAAAGACCGAAATAGATGTAGATTAAAATATGATTGCTGCAGGGAAAAGACAAATAACATTTCAAGATTTAGGGGAAAAGGTATGTTGAAATCTTAAAAAGCACCTATAAAGTTTTATATCAATATCACGTCAAAATAGAACATGAATATGTTAACAATGCAAAATAATGAATTTTAATCAGAAAGGAGGCGTAGTATACAGAAATGTCACTCCCTACCCACACTTTACTCACTATATCCTGATTGTTTCATTAGAGAGAGGCAAACATTAGATACATGAAGAGAATGGATGCAACGAAATTAGCAGTTCATCGAGAAATTGCATGTTTTTATGATAGATTGGAAGTGCTTCCACAGTAAACTCTCCTGTTCACTTTACCCACCTTGTTGTTTTATTAAACTACTATTAGACAACAAGCACAAAAAATAAAACTAACAAGATGGCTCTACCCTGTCATTAATATAAGGCTCTACCCTGCCATTAATGTCTAACTTACTGAATGGATATGTTCTCTCAAACATAACAAAATGCCATTACTTATGAGCAACAAATAATAAAGCAAAAAAAATGATCTGACAAGTTTTAGATAAATTCCCAGAGCAGAGCTAAAAGATTTTTTTTTTTTTTTATGTTTTTTTTCCTAATGCTGCTGTAGTAAAATGATATTCCACAACCACAACAGTGAAAGGATTTTACAGTAACAGTGGCCAATTCAATCACATACAAGTAGAAAAGGGTTTAATTAATTAACATTAAGAATTCTGTTTTCACAATAGAGTATAAATATGAGTTCCTTCTTGATCGTGTTGGATACAGTTATTAAACGCTACATTCATCTTCATTTTGTAGAACGATTGAAGGAGAGGCGGGGAACTTGCAAATTCGCTTCTAACTTAACCACTTCCACAATTAGACACAATACAGTTAATTGAATGATCAAAAATTGAAGATCCAAAACACAATACGTCCGTGGAATTAACGCACTAAACAACGAAAATGGATCTAAGTAAAATGAAAAAGAGAGAAGATGTAACGGAAATGGACAGGATTCGTAAACGAGGAATGGAAATAAATAGGATTAGGGTTTGGATAGGGAAAGGGAAAAGACCTCTTTGGAATGGTGGAGGCACTCGAGGTAGTCTTCGCGGAGAAGAGCGCAATCCTTGGGCTCTCGGCAGCGAGACATGCATTCGCTGAAATCAATCCAGAAATCGTAGCAACGACCTTTGTTTCCTGTAATTCCCCAACCCGACGCCATTCTCTCTTTCTTCGCCGAATTCCTTTGATCTCACTGCTTCCTCCAAACCCCCTTCCCTTCTTCACCTTCTGCCACAGTTAAATTACCAAACTACCACCATTTCTTCTCTCTCTCTCTCTCTTTTATGTACAACATAAATTTTTATTTATCCCTTATTTTTTAATTAAATTAATGAATTTATTAATTAAATGAAATATATAGCAATGAAAGTATTTTCTTTACTATAAAATCTTATATTATAAATTAAAATTCAAGATTTAGGAAGGATGTCTCACAATTTTTTTCTCTTACTCCTTCAATGAGATATTCTTAATATTTTTCTATTTTATGTAACTGATGAATATTTTTTTTCATAATCCTTTTAAAGTTTCATCCTTTTAATCATTATTTATATATATATATATATATATATAATCATTATAATCACTAATCTTTCTTAATATATATTTTTAATCAATATATCAAAATTGAATTTTAATATCAATAATTAAAATAATTTTACATCACAATTTAAATTGTTCATCATAAATATAAAATATATTTTATAATTATATATATTAAATACATTTATTTATATAAATTCTAATTATATATATATACAGATTAAATTACAAATTTAATTACAAATTTTCATGTAGTTGAAAATTATTAGTTTTTATAATCATTAATTTAAAATTCATAATTATTGTAGTTTTTAATCAATCAAGAAAAATAGTAATTGTGATAGTTTTTAATCAATCAAGAATAATAGTAATGTGATAGTCATTATGACGATGATGATGATCGCAATAATAGCATTGATTGTAACAATGGTCATAACAATAGTTATGGTGTCAAAGTTGATAATGACAATGATGATAATAACAATAGTGGTGATAGTGATTAAAGATAAAACAAATTAGATCTGAAATATAACTTACATAACCTGTTAAAATAAGCAAGGAGAGATGGGAAATTAAATCCACTATCCAACATAGTCCAACTCACTAAGTTAGAAGTTTACCTTGGTAATACGCACTTTTACTTAATGTATATTTCATTAATATATATTTTATACATATTATTAAGGTTCAACTTCAATCATGATTAGAGAACAACACTAATCACACATAGCTCATATTTGTAGAGGTGATTCAAAAGAGAGAGATGGATTAGTGTGAATTTGAAAGAAAAAAAAAATGTTTGATGAGGATATTTAAGAGGAATTAAGAGAAATTAAAAATGAGTCCCATATTATTTTTCATACCTAATTCATTAAGAGGATTCTAATAGTATTTGAAAAACATATAAAATTACAAAATGTAAAAAAAATAACAATTCACTTTATATTATAAAGTAAGAGTAACATAGTGATTGTAAATACCAATTTTATTATATTTCTCATCTAATTTTATTCTACTAAATAATTACAAATTTCAATTTATTTATTATCTATTTCCTATCAAATCTATTATCTTTTAGTCCCTTCTATTACTCGCCCTCCCCAAATAAAACACTAAGGAACTGCACCTAATTTTTTTCTTGAAAGAAAGCATGTGCAGGACGTAATCAATTTTGAGCTTCTTTTATATGCCAAGACTTTACCAAAGCTCTTAATATTGTCACTTTCACTTCAAAGAGTGGGTCATAATTTTAAGTTTGTCTCGTTCCATTTTTTACATGTTGGTGACGAGATTAGCCAAAATAAACCCAACTATCTTACTTTGTCAATCATAATGACAAGAGTAATGATTGAGAGATAAATGACAGTTTTTGTATTGAGAGTGTGGTAGTTGATATGAATGAATGGAAAAAGATATCTTATTTTTTTTATCTCAACTTTCTAGCAAGGATAAAAAATAAATAGCACCAATAAAATTGATAGACAAAACTAAAATAAACAAATCATATTTTAAGTGTGTACTAAACAATTTATTATAATATATATAATAGTTATTCTATTATAACTAATAACCAAATGATCCTTAAAAGCCACATCAATGATAATTTTCTATTTTCAACTAATAGTGTAAATGGTGCAAAAAAATTTATTAAATGATAAAAATTAAGTACAATTTCTTAAATGCGATTGATGTTGTTTTTAATCAAAATTAAAGTTTTGTCTCAATAATATATATAATTCTATATTAATGAAATATGTTTTAAAAATATAATTAATTACACCTAAAAAATTGATAATAAGTTTTGTCCTTTATTAAACTCAATTAATATACATTAATAATTAAAAAAGAGAACCCCTAACATCACTTTTTGCACTTGGTGGGCAACCTTCTTCAAGGAGATCCCCCCTGATGCGTAGGGACTAGTCGAATAGTTGTAACTGGACGAAATTATTTGCAATTTGTATGTGCAATAATCCTCTAGGTGGACCCTTGTTACTACCCCAACATGTCATTAGGACACCTCATCTGGTACTATTGGGAGTGTCTTCCTATTCTATTATTTCATGGCAAACAAATAAAGTACTTTGATTAAAAAATAAAGACTTAAATATGTTTTTTTACCTTAAATTTAAAATAAATTTATTTTTAATTCCTTAAATTTAAAATTATTAATCTAGTTAATTTTAAAAAATCTTATTTTAGTCCCTTATATCACTAATAATATATATGAAAGTAACGAATTGAGACAATTATATACCATTAATTAAGTTTAATGTGATATTTTTATTAATAAAAATATTAATAGGTAGATTTTATGTGATAATATTTGATAAATCTTTTAACAAAATTTAAGAATAAAAACTATTTTTTTAAAATTATAAAAATTAAAAATATTAATTTTAAATTTGAAGGAATAAAAATAAATTTAATTAAATTTGAGAAACTAAAAATATATGTAAGTCAAAATAAATTTTTAAAACCAAGCTATTAGGATGAGATAAGATGAATATTTATATTAGTGTAAAAAAATTAATATTTATAGGATATCTACTTTTAATAATATTTTACATGAAATATTAATTTAACTATTAAATTATTGTTATTAATCTAATGATTATTTACATTAAAATTTAAATGATAATATTTATAAATATATAATTAAAAAAAATTGTGTTTTAAATAAAACAATATATTAAATAAAAAGAGTGATAATGCAACATGTTCTAATATTTTTGCCACCTTGTCAGTATTGGATTTGACAATTTATGGTACAAGTGAAACAATAAATAAAAATCTCATGTATAAACATTTTAAAATGTAAGCATATATTACACTAAAAAAACCCATAATTCGATAAAAATAATATATTTTATTATATTATATAAATAACATAATTTTAATAAATTTCAAAATATGTATTACTTTCAATTTACTTACATATCTTATCGTCTATTATAAATAAATATTATATTTTAAATTATATCTAAATGTATTTTTGTTATTTATTAATATACTAATTTTTAGTTTGTACATCGCACAAATTAAATAATTTTTTTTGTATATTTATAATAATAATTATTATAATTTATAATAAATAATTTTTTTAAATGTATAAATTATATTTTAAATTTATGATAAATAATATAAAATTATAATATAAGGTTATTTTTAAATTAAAAAAATAAGTTGTTAACATAAACAAGCATCTTTATAAATATGTATGATAAATAAATCGATAGATCTAAATAGTTTGGTAGATAAGGGATGGTTGAATTTTGAAATGATTATATATATATATATATTGCCTAAATACGAAGAATGTGAGTGTAATGCATATTTCATTGACAAGAGAAGGATCGTTGAAAAATTTTAATGGAGAGAATGAAGATTTTACCATCTAATTTAGGAATTTTGAATTAATGATTAGAAGTGGAGCATTTTATAATTTGAGGCATGATAAAAAAGGGACATAGTAAAAAATAAAAATTCAATTTATTTATAAAATAACATAAAATAATATAGAAAATATTTAGTGTGCACCTATATAATTTTTCTGGGTCTGTCCCAATTATGGATTTTGTGGCGTCCCAACTCTATACAAAACCCAGGACCAGAGTGCACCTTCTACATATTTATTTAGTTGTTTTGGTGCCATTGTTAGGTTGTAATAAACACTTTACATCATACAGAAAGGTGTTGTTCGAAATTTTCATCCCTTAATAGAGTAGATTTTCCCCTCTTTTTTCTAATACTTTTGTTGCCTGTACATTTGTAGGACATGATTTAAATTTATGGGTAAGAGTTAAGAGTCATTTTTCTTATCATGTTAAATGAATGCATGGAATAGGTTATAGGCGGGTTTTAGTTCACCTATTTATTGGGAATGGTGATTAGGTCTGCGTGGTTTGATTACGTATTATGCCAACAGACCATGCACACAATTGTCTTAGAAAATGACCTCCTTTGTGCCATAATATACTATACGTTTACGGGTTTGGTTATGCGTTGGAACCAAACACCACATAATAGCTTCTGCTTTGGATCTTTGTTTCACATGATCACGTTTCATTTCAACTCAAAATACAATTGAAGATTAGTCATAAGTACCGATACAATTTGATAAAATCAATAAATGATTTTTTTTTTCTGGAATAAAACATACAAATGAACATGTACACCTAGTCTCCCAATTGAGTATTCATCTAGCCATAAAACATACAAATGAGTGGGTGTGATTACTACGACAGTCTACCGTTGCTTTAGTTTTGGGTCTTTCTCTCTTATTTTTTCTCCATTGTTTCCCCTTCTCCTTTTCTTTTTATTTCCACCACCACAACACAATCGTTGGAGCTGATTTTTTAGGACACACCATTTCCCTTTTGTTCCTATCTCGCTCCATTCTTACTCAACATAAACACAAATTAACCAAATCTCCTATTTATCACCCATTAGTTAACACCAAACAACCATCGCCATCAAAATTCACCTCACCCATAACATACAATTTAATGATCTCATGCTCAGTATTTGCAACACCCATTATCATTTCATATATGCATTTTATCATATTCTTAAAGTTGGTGAAAACTTTTTTGACCCTAACTTAAATATATTGTTTAGCATTGGTAAAAGTTGACGCTACTTTCAAATTTAGTATTAACCCAATTGATGCTATTTAATATTAAAAATTTGAAACAAAATATAATTTATTGGAAAATCTAAATAATAGTATGATGTGTATATATATTACATACTGTACTGTCTGTACCGCGAAGCCGAGCTCGGCATCATAGCACAAGATGAGGTCGGGCACGCGCTATGCGACGTCAGCTCGGCATTTAAGCAGATCATAACTGATCTCAAGGGATCTCGCTTCAGACGAGATCCACTATCTAATCTTATCATATCTTATCTCAGGCCCAAGGCCCAAAGCAACCCTAATTCACACTAAGGTACGTGCATTACTTATACGAGATTCATACTCCCACAAACACTAACTTTAGCATCGGAGTCTCTTTTGCATGTACCACCCCCATCTTGGAGCACCAGCGTACCAGTGAAGGAGGCTCACCGATCTTACCTGCTGGCGGATCAGCTTTACAGTAGATTTCCGGTAAGAACACATACTATCCACACATTACATTTTATTTAGGAAAAGTCTAATGTTTTGACATTTAGGTCATACTTATAGTACATTTTCATTATTTGGAGGCACTAAAAATGGAAAGGAAAGACATTATTGACCATTTAAAGTAGGGATGTGCAAAAAATCCAAATTGATCCGAACCGATCCATAACCGATCCGATCCATATTAAAAAATCCGATCCATTTTGAAAAAAAATCCGAACCGAACCACTTTATAAACCGGTTCAGTTATCCGATCCATTTTTACAAAGTGGATCGGTTCGGTTCAGTTTGGTTTTCTAAAAAAACCGATCCATATATGAGTAAAAAAGTGGATAACTGCACCGCATCGAACCGATCCAATTTCAAAAAAACCGATCCATATTTTAAAAAAACCAAACCGATCCACTTTATAAAAAATGGATCGGTTAACCGATCCACTTTTATAAAACGGTTCGGTTCGGTTTGGATCGGTTTTTTGAAAAAACCGATCCATGAACACCCCTAATTTAAAGTAAAGCCAAGAGCTTAAAATACATAGAGAAGCACATTTTGGAAGTCTCACAATACTCATAACCGATCCACTTTTATAAAACGATTCGGTTCGGTTTGGATCGGTTTTTTGAAAAAACCGATCCATGAACACCCCTAATTTAAAGTAAAGCCAAGAGCTTAAAATACATAGAGAAGCACATTTTGGAAGTCTCACAATACTCATAACCGATCCACTTTTATAAAACGATTCGGTTCGGTTTGGATCGGTTTTTTGAAAAAACCGATCCATGAACACCCCTAATTTAAAGTAAAGCCAAGAGCTTAAAATACATAGAGAAGCACATTTTGGAAGTCTCACAATACTCATAACCGATCCACTTTTATAAAACGGTTCGGTTCGGTTTGGATCGGTTTTTTGAAAAAACCGATCCATGAACACCCCTAATTTAAAGTAAAGCCAAGAGCTTAAAATACATAGAGAAGCACATTTTGGAAGTCTCACAATACTCATAACCGATCCACTTTTATAAAACGATTCGGTTCGGTTTGGATCGGTTTTTTGAAAAAACCGATCCATGAACACCCCTAATTTAAAGTAAAGCCAAGAGCTTAAAATACATAGAGAAGCACATTTTGGAAGTCTCACAATACTCATATCATACTCGTGACTGACCCTAACCTTTTTTAGTCCATAAGTTTCAATAGTATTTTGAAGCTAAGAAACTTATTCTAGAATTAACGCTGAACCTTTGACCTTATTAATGTTTAATGGAAGCATTTTTTTTTTCTTCATTTTTATACTTATTATAAAATTTATCTATATTAGATGTTTAATCGAGTTTCTCTCTCTTTTTTTCCTTCTCTCTCAATTTTAGACGTACATTTAGGAAAGAATAAAAAGGTGAATATAATTGTTTTTTCATTCATAAAAAATTATAGTAATTGTTATGATTCAAATTTAAGATCCTTTCGATATTATTTCAAATTTTCATCGATGGACTAATCCCAATGGTTGAAAATAAATCTAATTGTTAAAATTATATTATAGGGAAAGAACTTAGACGTTAATTCGTGAAAAATGATTTAATTGTTTGAGAACTCCATGAATTAATAAAAAAAATATTAACTATTTTAATTGAATAAAAGAACCATAAAAGTAAGACTTGATGATCTTATCGGATACATCTCTATACCCCAGAAGGAAACAAATGTTACGTTATGTTAATTAAGTGATTAGGCTAACAAGTTGTTAGATGTAAACTCTTGATCCTAAAAGTTTTCTTACTATAGAAATATCCTTAATTTTAATTGATTGTTTTTAATTATATAACTTTGATTATCAATTCCTTTTCTCCAAATCAATATCCAACTTATTTTTTCCCCACTTTTTTGCTTAATTTTGATTGAATAACAATAATTATTAAACTAATCGCATGTCCATGAGGAGAAAACAATATTTATTATTTGACAATATCATACACTTACTCTTATCCCATATCAAAATATCACTTATCTCTGGCTTCCATTCTTAATATGTATAGATCATGTTTATAATTTTTTAAAAATTTAAAAAATTGTTTAATATTTTATTTTATTAATTTAAATTAACGAATATTTATAAAAAAATTTATACTTTAATTTGAATATATATAATGAAATATTATATAATTTTT